CCTTGAAATATCTCCATAGTTAGGAATGCCCAAGGATTGTCTCAGAATGACAATGGGTTCCCTGTGTGCATGTGTGCTGTATATATGAGAAGCAGGATAGACTTCAGCAAAGCAGAGTGCCCGGAAGCACTGGCTTTGCAGTTGCCAGTCTCAATTTACTAGTCCATTTTACATGGCCTTGGGCTTCCCTGGTGGGTTAGATGGTAAAGAATATGCCTACCATGCAGGAGACCCGGGTTCCATCCCTGGGTCAGGAAGATCCCTGGGGAAGGAAATGGCAACCCACTCCAGTATTCTTGCCTGGAGAATTCCATGGACAGAGGAGCCTGGTGGGCTACAATCCATGGGGTCGCAAAGAGTCGGACACGACTGAGCAACTTTCACTCACTCGCGTGGCCTGTTTTCCATTAATAAGTGTACAGAGTATCTGCTGTTATTTTCAAGTGACCATTTTAAGAGATTTTGAAAAAGGAAGAAGGCTTCAGTGTCAGATGTGTGAGACTCTACAGAAATTAAATAGAATGAGGATCTGGCAGTAAAATTTTTCTTTTTCTATTTAGTCAGTTTTCTTTTGGCTTTGGTTTTATTTAAATCTGTGCTTAAAGCAAAAAAATAAAAAAATAAAACCTTGAATGCATTTGCTACTTGTAGATCGTGATTGTACTTTTCCTCTTGACATACGGACCTGGAGAAAGTCTACACATAGCCAAGATGCAGGCACATGGGTTAAAGTGATGAGGATTGATAGAAACTTGCCATTATTATTGTAATGTCAGTTTAATACTGGGTGACTCTCAGCATTTTGAAGACTCACCTCTTAAAGGAAGATTATTAATATGGTGTTAATGTGATGAAACCAGCATATTTCCCTTAATTATCTCTGTTGTAAGTGATACTGTCACTTTAGTCTTTCTATATCTGGGGCAGTTTTCTTTTCTTTTTTTTTTAAGATGCCAGTTGCGAAGTGTTGCCAGGAGAACCAGACTGAAAAGCTTGTTAATTAAGTATTATATATTGATTTGTTAGACACCATAGGGAAAGAGTTAGGAGAGGCTTCTGTTCAAATGGATAAAACTCAAAATTCAGAGGTAATGTCATAGTAGCTTTCTAAATGATAGAAAAATACATAGTGGGTCTGTAGTTTTCGCCTTATTTTCTCCATGAAAGAGAGATGGAGGAGAGACAAATGAATAAATGAAATCTACTACAGGAATTATTTAGAAACAGGCTGAGAAAGAAGGTATTAGAAAAACAATTCCTGGTGCTATGGTAACCATAGTTGGGTTTAAGTGACAGATGACTGGTTGGAGGAAGGAAAGAATGCTGGATGAGTAAGTGTTCTAGGTAATCTATTGAAAGGTGAATAGATGGTAGAAGAAAAGAATAAAGCTAGAACATTAATGGTTACAAAATAAAAAAAATTAATCTTAGAAATCTAAATTCCTTGAAAGCATCATCACTTTACAGTTTGCCAAGTCAGTATAACATGCTTGAATCTTAAGCCTGCTAGTCATGAAGTTATCAACACAGCCTTGAAGAATTAAAAACTGTTAGAAATACAAGGAGAATTGCTGGTTCATAGTGGGAGATTTTTATAGATACTTCTTGGAAATCAGGTAAAAAGTGTAAGATCTGGGTAAGCTGAGGGTCATAATTAAGCTTGATTTAATAGATTTGCAGGTTTGTATTCAATAAACAGAATATATGTCCTTTATGAATACTCATGTATTTTAAAGTTGGCCATTGGCCATGTAAACATATCCCCATGCCAAAAAAACCAAAAAAGGATAAACTCAAGAAATTAACAGAAGTAAAAGATTGTATAGTCTAAATTCTCTGACAATACGGCAGTGAAACTATAAATTAAACTCAAAAAGAAAGCCAAAGAAAATCTACCCATGCTGAAATTTGGTAACACTGATCTTAAATGTCTTTAAAGAGAAGATCAAATTGAATTAGAAATGATGAGTTACGTTAAAGTAGTGCATATCAAAAATTAGAACAAAAACAGCATCTGGCTAAAGTATTAAAATCATAATTAAAATTATTTACACTTCTGAGAAAATAAAAGAGAAAGTGAACTAAACATTGATCTTTAAATTTAGAGGAAAGCCAGTTAAACATTCTGAAGAACAAAGAAGGAATAGATTTGAAAACTTGAAAGAACCCTTGAACATATAAATAAAGAAAGCTTGGTCTGTAAAGCCTGAAGTGAATTAGAAAATCTAGGTGAATGAGATATTTCTTTACTAATATATGTTAGTACAGATAATTCTAAAAGAGGTGGAACACCTGAATAATCTAGTAACCAAAGAAGAAATCTGTTCTTTCCTTTTTAAAAAAAAAAAAAAAAACTACAGAGTTCAGGTAGTTTCATAAGTGAGTTGTATGAAAACATCAAAGAATAGGTAAATCTTGGGTTACTTGAACTGCCATATAGCCGAGAAAGAGGTAGAATGATAAACATTGCATTAAGAAAGTTCTAAAACTAAGACTGGATGAGGCCAGTGTGCGTGCACACATACACACAAAGAGAGAGCTTCAGGCTAGTATTACAAACTTATTGATCTAAAATTCTCAAAATGTTAGGAAGTCAAATCCAGCTGGGTCTTTAGAAAGAGGGTTTATCCTCAGACTGGTTTGAAACCTACTAATTGATCATATTAGTAAATTAAAGGGAAAGCCAATATGAATCTTGACAAAAGTTGGAAAAGCATTTAGTAAGATTTAATCCTTATTTTGTACATTCTTAAGTCATTTCAGACTGTGTTTCAGACAGTGTTTGTTGTGGCCTACCTTAATCCCACCTGTGTGACTAAGGCAGGTCTTAAGTAAATCTCTCAAGGCTTGAGATACAAAATATACACCAGTAGGTGACAATGTTGGAACTGTTAAAAGAAACTTAAAAGAGCAGAATAAATAGGAAGATCTAATGTGTTGGGTTGTATTGAAGCATATGTTTGAGACATCTGATCATACGTAACAAATATCTTGCGTGATTAGAATGTAGTAGAATGTGATACAGAATACGTCGATGACAACTCATTAACAAGAGTAGAAATTAAGTGCTAGCTGCAGTTAAAATCATAGCCCTCTTATCAGTTATGAGACCATGTGTTTGTATTTGCCAGACCATCCATCAATGTACTTCACACGCTTCGTCTCCCATACAGTTTTCTCCTCCTCAGCTCTTTGATCTGTTCTGCCCACACTGATGGGGATACAGAACGGAATTCCTTTTAATTATGTTCTCTTCTCAAGGCAATTGCTCAGGGTTGTGATGTGAAATCGGGTATATGCATCCTCTGCGCATCCTGTTGCTGCCACGCTGGCCTCTTGCTCTTCTTGGGACTCGCAGACGTGCTGTAGCGGTGCCCTCTGCTGGGATGTGCTTTTCTGTGGCCCACCCCTCACTTCTGCAAGCCTGTTCAGACATCAGCTTCCCAGTGGTGCCTATTCCGACCAAATTTTAACTGGGCCCCCTCGCCCCCGCCACTTCTTCCATGCACTCTGATTCCCCCTTGCTCTGTTCTGCTCCCCACCCCCCACACCCAGCACTTACCACCTGCTCCCAGTATAGAGTTTGCTTATTTCTTGCACCGATTATTTTATACCACTCTCTCCTGCATTGTAAACTGTATGAGGGCAGGGATCTGTGTTTTCCTTGTGGAAACAAGGCTGCTGGGACAGCAGGCACTCGGGAAATATCTTTGCATGAATTTGCTAGAACTGTGGGCATGAAGGCTCACCTATGCTGTCTTTTGATTAGACAAGAAATAGTTAGACAAGGGAGACTGACGGTGAAATGAAGGATACAGCGATCAAGGTTGAAAATGACCTGAGGGACACTTAGATTTTGTAAATAGACCTACTTTTGTAATATAAAGAGCTAAGTGGACTAGAAGTGAGGAGGCCTGGATTCTTGCTTTGTTTTTACCACTAACCTTAGATAAATCACTTGAATGCTTGGGCTTTAGGTTCTTTATCTGCAAAACAGACTACAGTTTTTAACTTAGAAGGATAAACTGGGAGACTTCTTGCACCTTACCCAGCTTTGTGATTCTTTGTGGGTCGCTCTAGGAAAGACAGTTTATGCACATACCCCAGTACCACATGGTGTATTTTCCCCCAAAAAGTCCCAAACTCTTTTCCCCCAGAGGTCATGGGGCTGTGATGATGTGCTTTTGGTTTATTTCAGGGTTTTTTCTCCAGGGCCTAACGTTGCTGTAGGTTTCTTGAAAGCTTAAACCAAGAAACTGAGCTGTGGACTGGGGTTTCATAAACTCGGTCTGTCTTTGCTTGATTTATTTATTTACTGTCTAAAATGGAAGTGCAGCAGTAGTTTGGTGGCACAATACTGGAGAAAGGAGAACGAGATACATCTGATGGACCTCTGCTAGGGACAGAAGCACTCCAGCTGTCATTTAGGGAAAGAACATGGGAATTGGGCTCAATATCCATCTTGCTGAAGCTTTCATATCATCTTAGTACTTCATCGCCTCAAGTTTCAGAGCCGGGAGGTCAGCTTCCTCCATGCTGACTGCCATGCACCTTGTCTCCAGACCCCAAAATAGCCATTATGTATTTGTGGGTCTATTTTTGGTGTTTAAATGTACACTGTTCACAAAGAACAGCCTTTAAAACTCCTTTTAAACTAAAGATCTTTTCGTTGGTCAGCGACTCAGTCCCATTTTCAGAGTCTCCATGGCACATCCTTATCTTCCCTTGGTCTTTCTTCATCTGGTCCATGTATTGGACATGGATTGTTCAGCACAAGGAAAGGGGATGGGATAATGGGAGAGGCAGTGTCCACCTCTCACTCTGGTGTCATGAGCAGATCTCCGGAGAGAGTCCCACGAGAGGCTCAGCTGCATTTGAGGTTCTTGCTGGGTATCTGTCTCCTCTTGGCTAGTTAGATCATAAAGACTGCCTGTGCTTCTGGAGAAAGTGCTCCACGCTGCCCCCCTGGGCCTGTGCTAAACTCTTTCTCTCCCATTTAGAAGAGAAGCCAGATTGCTCCAAGGCCCGCTGTGAAGTCCAGTTCTCTCCACGTTGTCCTGAAGACTCCGTTCTGATCGAGGGCTACGCGCCCCCCGGGGAGTGCTGCCCCCTCCCCAGCCGCTGTGTGTGTGACCCCGCGGGCTGCCTGCGGAAAGTCTGCCAGCCAGGATACCTGAACATCCTTGTGTCCAAAGCCTCAGGGAAGCCGGGAGAGTGCTGTGACCTCTATGAGTGCAAACCAGGTATGCACAGGTGTGGTCCCAGCAGCCTCGCTGCTTTGCACCAGAGGGTAGCAGCAGCCAACCACCACCTCCCCTGCCCCACCGCCCCATGCACACGCTCTGCTGATGGGCTCTGCAGACCTGCTTCTTTGAGCTACTGGCAGTCTGACTTCTGCCCTCCAGTCAGAGGACCAGATAATCAACTGGTACATAAGCACCTTCGGAGAGGGATCCTGGCTTTTTCTCTCTTCTTTTTTTTTTTTTCCTTCAAAGTTTGCTTGATAGGGGCAGTAGGGTTAAAATTTATGGTCCTATGGCTGCCTCCTTCGTTTCCCCAGAGAAGGTCATCATCCTCATTTGCAGATATATCTGTCATTTTAAAGTACTACATTTAAAACAATCATCATACATAAAACAGAAAGTTATTTTTAGATGAATAGATGCATCAAAGTGCCAGCCATCTTACAGTGAGATGCTCAACCCCTGTCTTTCTTCTTGCCCGCTCCACACCATTCCTTGGCTGACTTTATAGCATGTGCTAAGTCATCTTTGACTATTTACTCAACTTCTCTGCCACATTTGTTCTGTTGTCATGTCCCAGTGTTCCTTGCTCTATGGCATTTCCAACGTCCTTGTTCTTGTGGCTGCATTGTGGTCTGTGAATAGGTTTGGACTGGAGTGATTGCCTCTTCGAAAGGTTTTAACCATCGGTCAGATTTTTTTTTTTTCAACTGCTAGTTAAATGCTCAAGCCCCGCCATCCCTTGCTCATCTCTTGAACTGTTTCATCTGAAATACCTCTGGCTGATCGTCACCATCCACAGAACCACCACTGGTCTAACTCTTCGTCTCTCTCTGTTTCTGCATCTTAACTTTTCCGTGGCTTGTTCCCTTCTTTTCTTGAACAGAAAGCTTGGGTCATATTATAGTTCTCTCACATTGACTGAAATGAAAATGCCAGTGCCAAGACAGGGTTTTCAGGAAACAAGGAAACTGCAAAAATGCAAAGAGCCAGGGTTTTCATCTGGGGACTCTTTAAGTGCAAGCAAACGTAGCAGTGACCCGTGCCTCTGTTTGCCCCCCAGTTTTCAGTGTGGACTGCAGCACCGTGGAGTGCCCCTCCTTTCAGCAAACCGTGTGCCCCCTGGACAGCTACGAGACCCAAGTCAGGCTCACCGCGGATGGCTGCTGCACTCTTCCAACAAGGTTGGTCTGTTGTCTGTTTATCACGCTTTCTCCTCTGTCCAGTGTGGTTGCATCTAAAAATCAGTTTCAAGCATGCAGTTTGCTTTTCCCAAGTGCCAGGGAACCCTAAGATCCCCCTGTTTGTGTGGAGAAGTCACTGAACTGTTGATGTGACTTGGTAGTTCCACGTATGGGTCAAAGGCAGGCATCCTCAGGATAAGCCCCTGACCCTTAGAGGGTCCCCAGGCTGGGGCACCTGTGCACTTTCTAGGCGGGGTCCTGAAAAGGAAGCGTGTCCCTCAGTATCTAGCCAGGTAGGCAGAGAGGTGTGGATCCATGGTAGGCATGTCGTTTGATCCTCCGCAGTGAATCTTAAGGTGTTTAACTGTTGTGTCCAATGGGACGAAGCACTGCATGCGTCATAGAATTGCTCCTCAGGGATACTTGACGTTCGTTATTACACATCTACCCAGACCCATAACTTGCCTAGGCCACAATGAGTTTAGATTTCTATAATGCTTTCTGGAGTAACAAACAAATCTCTCTTTGGCTTGATAGAGGAAAAACTGCTGTCATTTTAGTCGTAGTAGCGTGATGTCTTTTTAACCCTATGGGACTAGGCTTACTCTAGAACTCAGGGGTGCCCAGACCCCATCCTTGCCGGATTCATAGGACCACCATAGAGCTGGCACTTTGTGCTTTGCTTCTGGAAAGACTGAGCTTGGAAACGGGGGGTTTACATGCTGTCTCCCCTGCTGAGTTGCCCTCCTCTCTTCCTGCCAGGTCCTCCCCTCCAGCTTTCCCAGGTCACTAAGGCATGATTTTGACAAAGTCATCTCATTTCTTTCAACTTCTGGTCCACAGTTAATATCCAAAGTTAACATGATGCCTTCCTTAACCCCACTCCTAGCCTCCTCCTCCCCTAGTCCCAGTGCCAGGCACTTAGCATCTCGATCTATTGCATGAGTAATTGTGATGATACAGATGGTTTGCCAAGATAGGAATGTGTATGGTCTCTAGTTAAGGTAAGTATCAGTGATTTGTCCGTGATTGGAGTAGACATCCAGAATTGGTTCTTACTACTGGATTCTTCTTTCTGCTCTTAAAGTGCTTTAATTCTTTGGCATTTCCTGATCATTGTCTTGAGAGAAACCATAGGATTGTCTCAGACATATTTTACAGGACTTGCCCAGTCCTTTATAGTGTATCATAAAACACGTGCAAAGATTTTTGTGACACTAACCTACAGTGGTGCAGCCCTTTCTTATGACATTACAATGTGTTAATTTATGTGAAATGCTTGGAAAGGGGTGAAGTATCATGCAGACATATTTACTTATCAGTAAAGGAAGAAAATGGAGCATTGCTACCAGTGACAGATGTCCTTTCAAGGTCTTCATGAAAAGAGAGGTGGCGCATGATATTAGACCACTTAATCAAAACTGAGCCAGTTGTAGATTCATAACACCTGTAGAGAGGAAAAGGGACAAGTCTCAATGCACTGTTATGAACATAATGTAGCACCATCTGCATGTAGGAGGCACAGTAGGCTATTTTTTCAGTCACGCTAGGGGGTCAAAATGGATAGAAACCACAGGAAGGCATATTTAATCTCAATTTAAGGAAAAAATAATTTTTCACAACTAATGGTGTACAGTCATGAACTGGGCTGTTTCCGGAGATAAACTGAGCTCCCTGTAGCTGGAGAGCCTTCTCTCCCTCTGGGTGGCCACCTTCCAGAGATGCTTAGGAAGAACATCACTTTGGAAAGGAGGTTTGAGCAGAGGCCTTCTGTTTTATCCCCATGCTTCCATGGGTCCTGTAAACATATACCTAGGTACGGTTATTATATGTTGACATAATTTTTACATTGGCATTCAGAACCAAAGAGTGGTCAGTTAAAGGTGGCTTTAATGTAGAAGTTGGAAATAGGGAGAAGGAAGCCATTCAGAAATCCCACGGTAAATTATTTGCAGGGAGAGAGTTCTCACAGCTCTTGGGTTTCCTGTATTTTAAATAGTCAGTGACCCTTCCTCCCGTGCTGCCCCCCGTCCATGTGCATCCTGTGTTCCCACCTGAAACAGCCCCTCTGCCTCCCCGCCCCCCCTCCCCCCGCCGCCCGCCCCCGTCATGCTCTCAGGCTTTGGGCCCTTGCATTTGCCTTCCGCTTCTACAGCCTTCTCCTTTTTCAGGACTACATTTCCTTCTCTTTGAAGTGTTTTTTAGTGTTCAGCCCCTAAAGATGACAGGTGTCTCTCCTCTACTCTTAAAGTATTAATAATAATTCCCATGAATCTCTTTATCATAGCAGTTTTCATAATACATTGAACTCAGTGATTTTTGGGGGGCAGTCTCTTAAACTCTGTATGCTTTTCAAGGGATGGGAGTATTTTATAGCTTTCCATATGGTATAAAATATGAACCTGCATTTATGAATGAATGAATGATGACTTATATTTTGCAGAAGAGAAACATTTTCTTTCTGCCATTAGGTAGTAGTACTCCTCCTTGTCTCACTATAAAACCCTTGCAGTTTTCCCCCAACTCCCTTCTTTATGGCCATTACTGCAGAAATCCTCTGCTCCAAGCACAGGGCTCACCTCTCAGTTAAATTCCACTTTATCCACAAGGCCTTTGTTCTGCAGCCAACACCCAGCTTGCTCCCTAGGTACTCCCAACATATCCTGTCCATGTTGCCAATTAATCATATACTTCCTTGCATTGTTATATAACTGTTAGCATGGATAAAGCCTTGTCTCACCAGCAAAAGGGCATTTCTACAGGTCAGGAATTGTGTCCTTTCTTTTCCTCTGCATATGCATTAATTTCAAATGAATCAGTAAATGCAGAATGGACTCAGACCATGACTTGACTTGAGCATATTGAGGTTCTTGCTTATTAAGGAGGATGGCATTCAGGTCATTCTTTGTCAGAAGAATAAAAACCCAAACAATCATATGAAAGTGGAAATAGAAAGCCTAATATGTTGTAATAGCGATAGTATTTTAGAAAAAGGCTACATAATAATTTTATCCTTGTGTGTGATCCACATCAAAAGTTTTCTCTTTGAGACCATGATTAGATGTAAAGAAGATCATTTTAGAATATGCAAACCCCTGTCATGATGACTTGACCTTTGCCAGCATATTTATAAAGAGCATTGTTAAGAAGTTAAAGGCATTTGGGATCAGAACTGTTTGTATGGAGGATTCTGGGGGAGAAGCCCCTATAGTCGGGATGGAGTATAAAGTATTGGAAGCTTTAGCAGAAGAGGTCTACCTTAGGTAGAAGTCACAGACCCCTTTTCTGGAGGATTTATTGTACTTGTATAGACTAGGAAAGGAGTCTGTGGACATGTTTCCCCTTATCTTGAAGAATAAATTCCTCCCACCTTCATTCCCATCTGAACGGAATTGCCCGTTCAGGCCACTGACTGCTCTATTTCAGTACTTGCTCACTTTGTGAACTCTCTTTTGAGTTGCCTATTTTCAGTTCATTTTTTTCATTCAGTTGTTCGTTCACTCACGGAACACTAGCTGAGCTGGGCTCTTCCAGGTGACAAGACACTCCCTTCCAGGTGTCCTTATCATGCATGATATCTCTTTCCACTTCCATGCGTGCCAAGTACTGGTTCTCCCACCCATCCCTGCCCTTTCCAAGGACAGGTGAGTCCTGCTCTCCTTGTTCCATCTCTGCACTTTCTTAATCCCCATTCTCCACTGTCGCCTCTTTCTCTGTCTTTTCTCTTGAACTTCATCCTGTTTTGGGCTTTCCTGGTGGCTCAGGCGGTAAAGGATGCCTGCCATGCAGGAGACCTGGGTTTGATCCCTTGGTTGGGAACATCCCCTGGAGAAGGGGACAGCTACCCACTCAGTATTCTGGCCTGGAGAATTCCATGGACTGTATAGTCCATGGGGTCGCAAAGAGTCAGACACAGCTAAGCAACTTTCGCTTCCATCCTGTTTAGACATGGTTCTTCTGTGTGATCATTATCATGTTAATTCTTCCTTCCCTCCGCATGGTTTAGGCTTCAAGCGCCCTGCTGGTCCTTTTCATCCTTTTCTGTTCTGTTGAGCTTGACTACGTTGTGAGGTACGTGGCAGCTCATCACACCTCTCAGGAGATGGTGGGAAGGACTGAGTCTCAGTGGCTCTGGTCCTGAACCCTGCATGATTACAGAAAGGAAAAATGGGGCGATCTGTGGAGCTCACAGCATTTCATGGTTCATAAGGCTGTTTGTAGGTGTGCGCAGATATACTTGCCAGTGCCTCCAAGAGAAAGAAAACTTAGAAAGAGAAAGCCATGTCACATGCATTGATCGAATGATGTCTTCGCAAGGAAGAAAAAACAGGAAGTCTTTAAGTAACATCTAGGTGCAATAATAATGATAGCTTAACTTAAAATGTGCCTTGCCGTTTACAAAGCTTTCTTTTTTTTTTTTTTAAACTTTTGTTGTCCTCATTTTGTCTTTCTGACTCCATGAGGAATTTACAGATATGAAAACAGAGGTCGAGAGAATAAGTGACTTGTGCAAGATCACAAGCGTTGTTTGGTCCAGGGGACAAAGCAGGTCCAAGTCTTTAGCCCGAGTTCTTTGATTTAAAGCCCTGTACTCTCCACTGCATTTAAAAAAAACAATATTTTGTTGTCTTAAAGCTCAGGAAACACATCACTGAATATGAGTTTATATCTCAGCCATCATATTTGTTTATAACAGTATACTACATATTAACACAATGTACGTATGTTTCAGTTACTCACTGCTGTGTAACAAGCCACCCGCAAAAGTAATTGCTTAAAACAGTGAAGATTTATTATTTCTCACGCCTCGGTGTGTTACCGGGGCAGGTCCTCTCCAGCTCGCTGGTGGCTGTCTGGGACTGGATGCTCCAAGGTGGCGTCACTCACATGTGTGGGCCGGAAGGGCGTGTCGCCCGCTGTGTGGTCCTTCATCCTGGCGCCTTCATATGATGGCAGGAACAAGGGGGAGGAAGTAGCAAAGGTTTAAAAAGAGACCAGCA